CCCCAAAACCCCAAAACCCCAAAACCCCGCTGGTCTTTATTTCCAAAAAATGAGAAATAAAATTTAAATAAATTTAACGTTGAGAGTTAATTTTCTGTTAATGGAAGAAGATTTAATTTGCTAACAATGCTCAAATGTATTTGAGAAACCCATTCTGTTTGCCTGCTGCTCTAATACTATTTGTTAAAACTGCTTAAATAAGTTATTTGAAAATGAAGATTCGGCATAATGCCCATAATGCTATAGAGAGTTAACTAAAGAACAAGCTAATCAATTCTGTGAAAATTAATTGATCATAAAAATGCTTGAGTAATACAATGATCAATTATTACTATCTCAAGATAGCAAAAGAGATCCAATAAATATGACTTTGACTAGTATTGATGAAAACTCTCCAGAGATATCCAATCATTACTCTGAAGCCAGAATGTCAACAGAATCTAACTATTCTAATTAAAGAGATTCATTGCCCATGACATCCTTCAATAAAACACAGAGCTTAGATAGGATGGGATTAAACATTATCAGTACTCTAAATTAACTAGCATAGTTCAGTAATCACAAAAGCTAGCCAAGAGAAGAGAAGATCAAGTATTGCCAAAGGTGCGCAGAGAAAAAAGGTTAAGTTAATTGTGTAGATTGCGGCAATATCACCCTTTGTGTGCAATGCTCAGATATTATTCATTCATTAGGTATATTTGTATCTCATCGATTAAAAAAGCTAAGTTAGCCTCTGGCTTAATCAGAAGTTGGTGATTATGAATTCATACCATGCTAGAAGCATCAAGATCAGAACTTAGTTAGTTTCTGCACATACGATTGGACTCCATTATGCAAGCATTGCATGAGCGAGCATTAAGATCATTAGTAAGTTAAGTATAGTAAGGCGTTGGAATAATTGAGAAGTGAATTAAAATAGAAGCAAAAAAGGCTAAAGATTATTTTACATAACTTGAAACTCACCTAAAAAAATAATGTTGAAATGAAACAATATAATTCATAAGATTATGATAAGTAAGTTGCTTAAGTTAAGCAATCTTTTGATCAGTTGAGAAATTACCTCAACAAAAAAGAGTCTGAAATCATTGAAGTATTTGATTAAAACTAGCAAAAGTTTTCAGACATCATTAATGACATGGAATAATAACTTAAGGATAAATATGAAAAAGCTTAATCAGCTTTGTATTTTACAGACCAAGCTTTATTAAATGCTCATTTCACTTTGCATCAAGGTATCAATTATCTCTCTGAGAAACTTTAAAATACCTTTTTGAGTTGCTGTGATCTAAAGAGTCTTGAGTAGGAAAAGCCAATATACAACTTTGACCAGTAAGATTTGATAGTTGATTTCTAGAAGATATTGGATTCTTGTTTTAATCAAAGAGACAGTATATAGCTACTTCAAAGCATATAAATCAACAATAACATCAATGATACAATCAGAGAGTCTTAAGAAAGTATGAAGTTCTAAGAAACTAACAGGCTAAGTACTGATAATGAGAATTAACCTACATAAAGTAGAGACAAATCAATTCCATATAAATAGATTTACCAAACAAACCAAATTGGCAAAACAATTACTAATTAGAATTATTATGCGAAGCATAGAAAAGGGAATAGTCATTCTACACTTACAGATTTCTTAGCTCTAAAGTAGCATTCATAAGTACTAAAAGAGAGAAAGAAGAATAAGATTCATGTAAAGCTAGAAAGAAATTAAGATTCTTTAATCTTAGATGAAAAAACAACGGATAAAGTTCCAACTAATTTAACATAAAACGAAGCAGAACTCAGATTTACTTTTGGCTAGAAAAAGGAAAATCAAGTATTAATGGTATCTCAAATACATAATCTATCACAAAAGCAAATCGTAAATCTGGCTCAGATTGAAAATTAAAGATTATCAGAAGGAGAAAGCTTGAAAAGAAAACTTAGTTCTGCAGCTGTATAGTAGTTTAATAGATAAAGTAAAGATCTTAAAGACTAAATGGATTAACTTTTAGTTAATAAGTCAAAGCAAAGAAAAAGTTCTAAACCTATCACAAACAATGAAAATCAAGTTAAGCCTCCAAACATAATGACTAAAACTCCAGTTTAATTCTAATCCTAAGTCATTTAGGAGACAAAAGAGAGGGAAAGTCCAAATTCCAATGTTAGCAGAAGAAATCAAGCAGATAAATAGAAAACTCCCAACTAATACAATGCTTCTCTAGAGTTCAATAGCAAGAAAACTGTAATTACTCCAAAGAATTAAGCAGGAGTCCCAAAGAAAGAATTTTCCTTGCCATAATCAAAAAGTGGCCTTAAAATGTGTAAGCCATTAGGATAATAATCGCTCCTTCATGATATAAGTCTTTCAAGGATGCCTACAATGAGAGAAGATTCAATTGAATTTCAAGGAGAGCAAACCTTTTCCCTTAGAAGAAATTCAAGGAATTAAATTAACTCTCAGCCAATTAATAAATAATCAACGCAATAAAAACTAAGCTCGTTGATAAATAACTAATCTTTGCAATAATCATCCTCTAATTCAAATCTCAAAGCTTTAATGAGACCTAACGACTTAACAAAGAAAGAAATCAAAGATATGACACAGGAGCCTTTAATGAAGAGGAGGTTCTTAGTGAGAGCAAGCTACTCATCTAGTGTTCAAGTTTCATGGAGCCATCCTAAAGGTAGCAATATAGAAGGACTTAGATACATCCTAGAATACGGTGTAGGCATCAAAGTCAATGGTCACGAGTAATTCAGATAAATATATAAAGGAAAAGCATTCAAATGCATTGTTACAGACCTTATTCCTAAGACAAACTATAGGTTCAGAGTAGCTGCTGTAATAATAAAAGATAATAAAGAAGAAGTAGGTGAATGGAGTGATGTTGAGAGTGTATAGACATCAGATATATAGTAGATTGATTTCAATAGTCTCTATAATGTAGCAGTATATACTCCAATAGTAAAAAGTTAAAGTTCAAACGTAGTTAATCAGTCTATTGTAATGAATTAAGGAAACCAAACAGCGACCTTACAACAACTATAGAATAACCCAATAGGTGGTGAAAGATGGATCCAATTTGAAAGGCCAGGTTTAATTCATTCCCTTAACTCACTTTGTTTTGGAAAACATTATTGGAGTGTCTCAGTTCTATACACTTAAAACTTAAATTTAAATAATGAAGAATTCTCTGGTCTGCTAAAACTTGGACTCTTCTCTAAAAATTCAGCTGCTCAGAAGATATATGGCCCAGTAATAAACTATTCAACTTCTAAAGGTCTCATTAAGGTGAAATTCTTTTTAGACTACGAGTAAAAATAATTAAAGGTTTACACACATTCAAACCCCAAGGGTGAAATATACCCAGACATTCCAGAATTAGGTCTTTTCCCTTCAGCCTAAAATATGACGATGAGAAGCAAAAACGCTACTCTGAGAGTCTCATTCGCCTTTGATCTCCCTGCCTTCGAATTCAACAATGAGACTGGATGTATTAAAGATTTGTGAAATAAGATTGTGTTTGTCTATATGTTAATGATTTATCCTTAAGTTATTAAATATCATTATCTAACTACCATATAAATGTTAAGGTTGAATGTCTGAGGGAAATTATATCTTAAGGGAATAAAAATTCCAGTAAGACGGTAAGTCCTCTATTTGGTATTGCTAGCCTTTCCCGATAAATTACTATGCAGAGAAATCTATCAGAATGACCAGCGTCCTTCTAAATTTTAATATCTTTGTTCGATACTAGTTATCTTCATATTTAATATATTAATTATAATCTCAAGGTCTTAAACTTATTTATAATAGCAATTTGATATTAAAAGTAAACTTCTTATTTAGTAAATTAACTAATATTCAAGCTAAGTTGTCAAGTTCAGATTTTTTAAGAATTTATTAACATCTAAATCATTTTAATTTCTTAAAGCCCTCTTCATCTTCTTCATATTCTTTTTCTTCTTCGTCTATTTTGTGGTAGGAACCACTCATACTTATCATTCTAAGCGAGTTTTTGCTATTCATGCTAGTATTAGGGCTTAAGTAATGCTTTTTGGCTAGCTTCGCCTTTTCATTTAATGCTTTGATCTAATTCGGGTCAGAGGTATTAGGATAGGTGTTGTACTTGCCAACTAATTGATAGTTCTCCCCATTTAATCTTAAATAATCATTTTCAAGGAGATTGTCTGAACGATTCTGTTTTTATTAATAAGATTGGAATATTTTCATGCCCACATAGCCTACAAAACTGACTAGCATAGCTGTAACTACAAGTGATACAATAGAGTTTACAATGAATGAATTTAGTTATTCGCTCTCTTTATTTTCTTTTTCCATTTTAATATGTGTTGAAGAATTAGGGTCGTGCACTTATTGCAGGGATTACTAGACAAATATGAAATGCTCGGGATTCTTAACTATGCATTTTTCTCTTAAACAACTACACAATTAAGTAGCACTTTGGGAATTATTGTCTTTGCAATCTAAAGCACATTTGATGTCCATATCGACTTTGTGTGAACCTAACTAAGGCAATGTGATACAATCCTTTATCTAGTGGTTCAGTGGTTGAAACATAGCAATTGGCTAAAGAGGGGACTCTTGCCTCTAATCTTTCCATTCATTAATCAATTCTTCGACCTTTGCTACTAATCCTCTATTCAATTAATCCTATAAAATCTGTTTATTATCTCCTTCTTCTTTCAAAATATTCTGCTCGAATTCATCTTCAAATTATTGTAGCTTATTTTCATAGCTATATTATTTTATAAATTTATACTATTTACTTTTCTCTTTAATCCTAGGTATCGCACCACTTGATGCAGTCATTAGACTCTGAAAAGAGAATGCAGTACTTTTCGCACTAAGTCACATTTCTTTAAAAGGGGTATGGAGCGCATCCGCACTTAACTGGGCAACTAAAAATTTCAAATGATTACTTTATTGATTACTCTTAATCCTGATCTGAGATGCACATGTACTTGCACTTATAATCGCATTTATCTATCTTAAATCTTCGAGATTCAACTAAGAAGCTGAGTGAAAGCAAAATGCAAAGCAAGGTAATTGTCTTAATTGAGTACATTAATTGTAAAATAATATTATTCTAGTCAATTAATTTTCATCTTTTTTCAGGCAATATGATATTTCGGGGTTTTGGGGTTTTGGGGTTTTGGGG